TATAGGCATGTCCTTCTTTAGGTTGGGGAAGTTTTGTTCTATGATTTTGTTGAATATGTTTTCTGTATCCTTGAGCTGTGTTTCTTTGAATTATTCTATACCTATTATTCTTAGGGATTTGTTGGACTTAAGATTTTCTTTGGTCAATGACTCTTATTTCCTCTCGTGAATCTTCAACACCTGAGATTCTCTCTTCCATCTCTTGTATTTTATTGGTTATACTAACATCTGTAGTTCCTGATCATTTACCCAGCTTTTCTATTTCCAGCATTCCCTCAGTCTGCATTTTCTTTATTATTTCTATTTTAGCTTTCAAGCATTGAACTGTTTGAATTATTTCCTTCACTTGTTTGGTTGTTTTTTCTTGGCTTTCTTTGCTTTCTTTTAGAGATTTGTTTATTTTGTGAAACTTTTGGTTTGTTCTTTCCTCTACTTCCTGTATTTTTATTTGCTTTTCTTCTATTTCTTTAAGGAATTTTCTCATTTCCTCTTTAAGTGTCTCTATCATCTTCATGAGATAGCTTTTAATGTCCTTCTGCTTCATCTGTGTTGGGATGTTCAGGTCTTGCTGGGGTGGAGTCCCTAGATTCTGGTGGTGTCATATTGATCTTTCAATTATTGAATGTGTTCTTATACTGTTGTCTTCCCATCCCTTCTTCCAGTGGGTGCGGGTGGTCTCTCTTGGAGTTCTCAAGCAGAGAGCATGGGGGGGGGGGCAAGACTGCTCTGAGGGCAGACTCTGGATGGTTTGGTATGCCAGGACAGGTCCACTCAAGCAGAGGGCATAGTGGGACTAAGACTCAAGCAGACAGAGTAGGAGGACAAGACTGTGATGAGGGCAGGCTGTGGATGAGCTGAAGTGCTGGTTCGGGTCCAATACATGTGGAGCCTACCCATGAAGTTCCAAGGAGAGGATGGGGGAGTTGGGCCTGAGTAGGCCCCACACTTAACCTCAAGCATAGGGTGTAGGACGTAGGACATAGGACGTAAGACAAGCTTTTTATTATTAAGATCAATTAGAATTCTCACTACGGGCAAGTTCAGAAGTTTAAGTGAACAGCTCTCTCCCTTCTTGTGTGTTACTAGGATTTGGTTTTGTTCAGATATCAGATGGCTATTTCTTGATCTTGGGAAAAATAGTTTAGTGGCAAGAAAAATCAAAGTTTGCCTAAGCCAGTTATGACAATTCATTCATATATTTATATTTCCTGCTGATTGCTCTAGGATGGTCACATAACCAGGAGCATTCTGGTAAAGATATCAGGAAATGTTTCTTTAAAGTAAAATGAAAGATAGAGAAAACAACATTTTTCTGAGTAATTTCTTTGATTTGAGCCTGGGAACATTCGAAGGTATGATGTTTAATACTATGGAATCTACTTGTGACATCACTGAAGGTAAGATGGAAAAAATGGGTCCCTATGATATCATTGAGCTCCTCCATCTGGTTTATGGTGGCTCATTTCTACAGTCCTGTTACGCGGGAGACAGTGCAGGAGAAGCAATGATTCAGGGCCAACCTAGGCTATGTAGTACATTCCAGGCCAGCTTGGGGTACAGAGTGAGATCATATATTAAAAAGCCAAGGGAGCTGGAGAGATAGTTCAGGGGTAAAGAGCACGTACTGCTCTTGCTGAGGAGCTGGATTCATTTCCCAGCACCCACACGGAGGCTTACAATGGCCTGTAACTCTTGTTCCAGGGGAGCTGAAACCTCCCTGGGCACTGCATACATATGATACACAGACATATATCTGTGGTCAGATGGAGTAGCCCTGTGCACCTGGTGGTGCACCCATTCACATAAAATAAAAGTAAATGCATCTTTAAAAAATGTGCAAGGCATCAACTACAGAGGGTTGAAGATACTCCCAAAGTGATATAGGCTGTTGCCATTGCTCTTGATTGCCTCCCAGAACTTGAGGGTAAGACTGTATTACTAAAGACAAAACAGACTTTAGACATAGGACTTGGAGGAATAGAACTAGAATTAACATGGAAGCCTTCTCCTTGAAGACTAACTTTTATAGTACAAAGATGGTACATTGGCTGCCAGTGGGGAAATCAACCAGTCTTACCCAGCTGTAAAGCCTGCACCACAATGACCAGCATAACAAGATATCTTCAGAGGCACAAAAATGGCACTTATCCCTCAGGAGTAACCAACAGCCATCTAATTTCACTTGAGACCTGATAGATAGGAGGAAATTCGTGCCTGGTACTGTTAACCCAGCCAACTATCCATGGCTGGTGACAACAGAGCCCTAGGAGAATGTATTACTATCACTTTCTTAAATTTAAACATACATAGCCTTATACCCACAGGTAAGTGTAACTGCCACTCTTCATAAAAAAAAAAAGATTCTTTTTTCAGTGGATGTGGACTATCATAGAAATCTGTAACTAGTCAAAATGCCAAAAACAACTGATAGTTGGGTGCCCAATGCCAATAGATATATCTTCGACACAACTCTTATACTCAGATCAAGGAACATCTTGGAAGAAGGGGGTAGAAACACTGTAAGAGTCAGAGGACCAGGACATCTGCTGAGAGATAATATCTTCTAATATGATAGATAGGGAAGCTGCACCCATTGAAATCTTAATACTGGTTTCCTAAACAAAACCAGCAAAGGGACAACACTGCTTGATGTGCCAATATGAATGGGAGAAGTCTTACAAGAGTTATGTCTTGGTTACTTTTCTATCTTAGCCATGATATCATGACCAAGGCAACTTACAGGAAAAAAAATAGTTTATTGGTTTCATTACAGTTTCATTAGTTTCATAGGGTTAGATTTCATGAGCATGGCGGCAGGCAAGCATGTCACTGGAGCAGTAGCTGAAAGCTTATTTACTGGTCCACAAGCACAAGGCAGAGAGAGAGAGAGAGAGAGAGAGAGAGAGAGAGAAGAGAGAGAGACAGAGAGACAGAGAGAGAGAGACAGAGAGAGACAGAGAAAGAGAAAGAGAAAGAGAAAGAGAGAGAAGAGAAGACTAACTGGAAATGGCATAGACTTTTGAAATCTCAAAGCTCTTCTCCAGTGATACTTCCTCATACAAGATCACATCTCCTAATCCTTCCCAAACAGTTCCACCAACTGGGACCAAGCATTCAAATTATGAGCCTTTGGGGTCCATTCTCATTCAAACCACTACAGCTCTACTCCTAGATGAAGAGATAAAAATAATCCATGGCTACCGAAAGAGAAAGAATCAGTCATTCTAGGAATAATAACCTTGATAGGTCATCTAATCTCAAGCCATCAGCCCTAAACACACACAGATATAAGCATCAGTAAATGTTGCCAGCAGGCTGTACTTACATGTTCATATATATATATATATATATATATATATATATATATATATATCAGTAATATTTAAGAAGAGGTCATAAATTTGAGGTGGGGAGAGATATGGGGAGTTGGTTGGGTAGACAGAAAACTGGAAATGATGTAAATGCAGTACTTACACATGAAATTCTAAAAAGAAAAAAATTAAAAAAGTTAAAGTCGACAGTAGCAACAGCTACATCAAGTGTGAGGCTCCATGCTGTGTTCTTCCACTGAGATTCTTGTTGCTTAAGGCATGAAAGTCAAAGGCATCATTGATGTAAGAGCTCCAGGTAAAGAACAAGCTTTGGAGGATTATCAAAGACCTTCCTGTTAGGAGCAGTGGTCCAAAGAAGACAAAGCAGCTCAGCAGAAGGGGAACCCCTGCAGAGAGCTTCAAGCACTGTGCAGCAGAACAGAGGACAGCATGGAAGCTGCTTTGACCAGGTGCACAGGGCTACTCCATCTAGGGAGGCCATCCCTGTGGGTCTCTCTGTGGGAGACAGAGACTTCAGGTCAACGGAGTATTTCAGCCTCGGTAGTCTTTTGTGTTGGAGGAAACATTATTTTAATTACAAAGAAATTTATTTCAAAACAATTATTCGATATATGCATAATTTTACCATTTATTGAAGATTATAGCAAATTTTGCATACTGATATTGATATCCTTGTTTTACTTTAAAAACCCTCCTTTTACTTATGGGGTGCACAGATGTGCCACAGTGCACTTGTGGAGGTCAGAGATCAGGCTGTAGGTGACATTCCTCTTGGAGGGAACAGGTTTTGGAGGCAAGCAGTATGGGCCCCGACACTCCTTTGAGTAGAGCCTTAGTTTCTTAGCTGTAAAACAAGAAGTTTCTTCCTACTGCCATTGCATTCTGATAAAAGTTAGTATGCATTTAGCCACATAAAACCCTAGGATACTGAGATTTAAAAAATTATAATTATTACTAAGCAATGCAGACCTGCCAAGATAATAAAAACACTTCACGTTCTACTATTAAATACATGGTTGGTCAATGCTGGGCAAGAACAGGCTAAATTGAGACTTGTGATGGCAATTGAGTGTTGACCTACCCTAAGGTAAGAGATGAGACCCCGGGGTGGGGCTTCTGGACACCACTGCTCCTCTTTCTCTCTTAGAGGCATGCTCAAATTAGAAGATGCCAAGACAGTATTGATGACTGTCATGACAATGTCTTCTCCCTGAACTGGGACAATGACAGAAAATGTGCAGTACCCATTGAAGGGAGATTGTTAGGCTTCAATAGGGTCTCAGGCAGTGGGAGACAGAGAAGACCACCTGCCCATTCTCTCATGGGTTATGGAAACACCCGGAAACAGGTAATAACCAGCACCAGATGCTTGCTGCCCATGGGTGTGAGGCAGGAGATGACTAAATTGTATTCCTAGGAGATTCTGAGAAGCAGCCCTTTCTCTCCTGTCCTACACACCCACTCGAAGAGATTCCTAACCCTGTGACAATCCTCAGAAAGAAGAGGAGGAGGAATTGTTGCTAGCGTTTGTAGTAACAGGATGAGAAAGTGTGAGACTTCCTGTTATGTATGTGTGACAGCTGGTGATAAGTGGAGGGCCCCGCGCAGGAAATCCGCTCAGCTTCTGCAGTGTGACCTCCTCGAAACTTGGCAGCTCCTTTAGTCTGGATGTTGATGGCAGGACAAAGAGGCGCCTTCACCATGAGTGACGACGTGGTAGAGAGAAGCTTGGAAGGACCCTCAGCACCCACTACAGACAAGTCCTCCCAGAAAGGGGGAGACTTGGTGGAAATACTAAATGGGGAGAAGGTAAAATTTGATGACACGAGGCTTTCCTTAATTCTTCAGAACGGCCTGGAGACCCTCCGAGAGGAAAATGCTTTGACAGATGTCATCTTGTGTGTGGACATTCAAGAATTTTCTTGCCATCGTGTGGTGCTTGCTGCAGCCAGCAACTATTTCAGGTCAGTCTTAAATCAGAGTCAAACTACATGCATGCTGCAAGGAAAATATCTGTAGATGTGAGAGCTGAACCTCATTTGCTTACTGTTACATTTATGGTTATATTTCATTATATATGCTATACATCATATATTATAAACAATGTAAATATGTATGTATATATCCTAAGATTTCTGTGTCTACTTAAAATATAAGAAAAGAATCTATCAAGCTTTAGATTTTGGATTTAGGCCATGTTATAAGAAACTGGCACCCTTTAGAAGCAGTGCTTATTTATTACAGGTAAACTTTACATATGAAAGGATGTCCTTGATTTTAAGAATGTGAAATTATTTCAGTCAGGGTTTTTTTCCCACCTCTCTTTCCTCAGTTTAACTAATGTGTTAGAAACATGATGCTGTCTTTGTTCCTCAGTAGAGGTAGAGAAAAAGGATGTGGTCTCGCTCTTGGACTTAACAGATGACTTGCTGAAAATTAGGGGTTTCCGTTGTGCAAGGAGAAGGGTGGGAAGGATGCTGTGGGCATGAAAGGCTCTTGAGTGTCCTAGTGGGAGACCTGGGGTCAGAAGACCTGCTTCCATTTCACTGGGGCCCTTGCTGGCTCTGAGATTTTAGGCAATTTCCCCCAGTATTCTTGAGTTTCTGTTTTGTGAACTGGAAGATGGGGACAGTGTCAGTTTTCTCTCATCACTATAAAGGTCCTCCTAGTGGAAAGGTCTTACACAGTGCCTAGCGGATACATTTGCTCAAAGCATCTTTGTTGAAACCCCATATGAATACAACTGGCCCAGCATGTCCACATCAGTGTGGACATGACAGAGAACCAGTGTGAAAGGATAATGTAGGTGAGGGAGGTATTTTGGAAAAAAAAATTTGCTGTGTTTATTCTTAGTGAGATTTCCCTGCCTTTCAGTTTTGGTTGAGGATTTTAAGAAAGTATCATAGAAAGTGTGTGTGTGTGTGTGTGTGTGTGTGTGTGTGTGTGTGTGTGTGTGTGTGTGTATGTGTGTGTGTAGTATAAAATCTGTATTTTATTTGGGGTGGCTAGGAGAAAATTCTTTGGAAGTCAAAGAGTGGAGCAATCAGGTTGCTTCGGGTACATATCTCCCACATACTGACAAGGCAAGGCTTATGCGAATTTGAGAGAAACCATGCCTGCTCTATACCACAAACAACGGTTGCTGGTTTCACACTGCAGTGGCATAAAGGTGTCAGGCACCCTCTTTTTAGATGAGGAAATGGAAGCTGCGCATCGTGTACCTGGCCATTGCAGGAGCAGAGATGGCACACATTCTAAAAGTCCTTGTTTTAAGTGCAATGCAAGCTGCCACTAAGTTTGGGGCATCATTCTATGGGCAGCATATCTAGGTAAAAATGCAAGCACAGTCATACAAATAGTTCAACACAACACACTGCTTAACCTGCCACTAGCTATCCCACTCAGGAGTGAAGGAAAGCCAGTTTGCCTCAGTGCTTTAGGTACTTGTTTTCAGTTTATTCGTTTTGTTTTGAGTCACTGAAAAACTGTTACCACTGGTTATTGATTTTATAATAGTGTTTGCCTGCTTATGAGACAGGACTACTGGCTCTCTGCCCATGAGACATCACTTTGTTTTGGTCCTTGGGTTTCTGCTCATAAACAGAGGTGCCTCAGCTCAGATCTTTGATTCTTGCTGATGCAGAAAACACTTTGATGGTCCTCAGGGCAGGTGATGGTGGTGGTGGTGAGATGCTGAAGCACACAGGTGTGAGGGTCTGCCTGTGGATTTGGACCTTCTTACCAAATTGCCTAGTCTACCCCTTTCTTTAGGTTTTATTCCAGCATAGTTTTCTTCCTATAGTGGGTATGGTTCTGGATTTAGGACTCCGTATTCTGTTTGTTGAGCCCAGTGTGGGATGGGCCCAGGGTCACATGCACCTTGCCCATTTAATGTGCACAACAACATTCTCGTGAGCTGGGATGTTGTGCTCATCTTACAGATGAAGGGACGAAGTCTAGGATGGCAGTTAACTTTTTTTTTTTTTTTTTAAAGAGCCAACTTATGTCCTAAGACCAAGGACCAGCATTAGGTCTGACAATGACTCACTGCATCTTTGCTTTGTTTCTAAGGTTTTGAAAGGGGTGAGACATCTGTCATTGTCACCACACCACAGCTGATTGAAATCAGCAGCCTCTGTTTGTGGTATAGAGCAGGTATCACTTCCCTCAAACTCAGCCCCTTGCCTTGTCAGTGTATCAGAGCTGTTTAACCCACAGCAGCCTGCTGGTCCTGGTCATAACACACACACACACACACACACACACACACACACACACACACACACACAAGCGGTTACAAGAATTTAATTATTGTGTGCCAGAAGACCAATAGGGTAGGAATGTGTCAACCAAACAGGGACAATATTAGTCACTCAGACAGTGAATTTCCCTTTGTGGATCTATTTTAAAGTTTGGGGAGGAATGAGGAAGTTGGAGAAAAATACATTTTGTTGAGACTGAGACATGAACAAAGGATGGTAAGCCTTAAAAGTTAGCTCCTTGCCTCCATAAAATCTGGGAGGAATTGCTTGACCTCGAAGGATCAGCACCCATATCTACAGTTAAAGATTTGTAGGTCTACATTCATTAGTGAGTTGTCATGGAATGCAGATAATGCCACAGTTCATTTATTAATCTGTTTGCCTAAAAACACGTCGTGTGCGGCAGTAAGTCATAATTTCTTACTTTCTGTGATCAGAAATGGTCTCTGGCTTATTTATATGTGTAGTGGTATGGACTTGGAAAATCCCCTCCCAAGAAGTGTAGAGAAGTGAACTCAGAAAAGAGACAGGTGCAAATGCAGGCGGTAGTCAAGATCTCAGCCACCAAGCCTGTGTCAGAAGCCCAGCTACTACGGAATCCTGAAGGGAATGGTATAGACCTTCAACTCCCTTGTTGTTCTGTGGCCATTCCTGGAAACCGAGAGTCACTGGTGCTTCTGATTCTTCTATACAAACAGGCTCTCACGTGTCCTTGGTTCTCTGTCTCCCCAAGTCAAAGTTCATGCCTCTGATTATCTGTTGATGTCTGGCTGGGACAGGAGCTGGGAAGGAGCATCGAGCCTCTGATCCTACTGGAGTGGAGGCTCCTGCCACCATCTCCCACACAAAAGGGAGAATTTGCCAGGCTTATGGAGGGGTCCAGATGCTGCAGAACACCAAAATGACTTAAGTGGGCCAGGCCTGGGTTAGATGAATAGGTTATGGGATCTTGAAAGCTCCACAACTTTTGAAGACACTGTGACTCTTGTCTCACGGGCATTGGGTGTGTAACTTAAGGTCCCAGCAGGAAAGGGGCAATCATTCATTCATATGATCATTCTTCCTCTCCCAATCGGCTGTGAATCTGCAGCCTGAAGGCATCAACCAGATAGGTGAACTCAAAACAGACTGAGCTGTGTATGGTGGAGCACGCCTTTAATCCCAGTACTCAGGAGGCAGAGGCTGGCAGGTCTCTGAGTTCGAGGCCAGCCTGGTCTCCAAAGGAAGTTCCAGGCCAGCCAGGGATACATAGTGAGCTATGTGATGACAGTGACTTCCTTATTCATTCCTTTGTTCTTGGTGCCATTTTCGGTAGCTGGTATTTAGCAGGTACCTCACATATATTCAAAGTCAGTAAAACCTGGATAGTCCTCCTACAGTTTGAGTCACCGATTAAGCAGAGGTTCTCACATGATTGGGAGGCTGATATATGCTTTAGAAAAGGAAAGGATGGAGCCGGGCGTTGGTGGCACACGCCTTTAATCCCAGCACTCGGGAGGCAAAGGCAGGCGGATCTCTGTGAGTTTGAGTCCAGCCTGGTCTCCAGAGCGAGTGCCAGGATAGACTCCAAAGCTACACAGAGAAACCCTGTCTCGAAAAACCAAAAAAAAAAAAAAAAAAAAAAAATGCAAGTGTTAATTGTGTAAGCAGAAGGACTCAAGTTCAGATCCCCATCATTCATGTTGAAATCTAGGCATCATTGTAATCCCAGTCCTGGGAAGTAGAGATAGCCTAGCCACTCAGTGAGCTCCACATTCAGTGAGGGACTCTAACTCAAAACATAGGATGGGGGAGCAAGAGAGAAAGATACTCCATGTTACCCCTGGCCTCTCTACATGTATCCAGGGGTCTGTCTCTCTCTCACACACACCCCAAACCCAAAATGTTTCAGATTATTGTAGAATCAATAGGTCACTCATATAACCATGTGGACACAGGTGTGCTATGCCCGTACAGTGATTCTTGCAACACAGTTAACATAGGAGCTTTGTGGGGGGTGATGGTGGGGGATGTGTGGGTGGAGAGTGGGTGGTGATGTCATGCTCCAGGGCAGAAGAATAGTAATTTTCTTTGATTTTTTTTAAAACAAAATTTACCCCTCCACACACCTGGTGTCTAGGGCATATGGGTCATTTTTCAATCAAGAACCAGAGTGCTGCATGATGGCTCTGCAGAGGTACTTGCCTCCAAGTCTGAGGATCTGAGTTCATGTTGTAGAAAGAGGGAACTCCTTCAGTTGTCCTCTGACACACGTCCATAAACATGCACAAATGCAAAGATAAATATGGCAAAAATATGTTTTAAAGAACAAGAAGTCTAGTGTTAGTTTTGACTATTTTTGATGCAGCTTTTCTGTTAAAGCACAATAGAGAAATATTTCCCATGTGTGTGTAACCAGACCTTTGTAAAAACACTGTGTGAGGACTGCACAGAGTGACTGGGCAGCTAGTCCCTGAGAAGAGCTGGCTGCGCGTAGTGTCGGTTTGTCGTAGATGGGCCTGCAGCTCCGTCCATCACACTCTTCATTAGGCAGCATTGGTTTTTTTTGTTTATTTGTTTGTTTTGGTGGGTGTTGCTTTGTTTTGTTTCAAGCGATAGCAATTCAAATGAGATTGGCTTTAGCACATTTCTGTATCATAGAAAGACTGGGACGCGGCAGAGGCCAGGGAGAACCCCAGGCCTTCAGTGCAGTCAAGATGTTC